CATCATTTATGGATAATATAAGCGCTGTGCTCTGTTCTCCTCGTTCAGTTATCTGTATATCATTTAGAGTTGCTATCAGGGATTCTATTTTGGAAGCATATGAGTTTATGCTCATATTACCTTGGTATAATCTTGAAAGTTCACCTTGAATTTGTGCTGTATTTTTCTTTGGTTTATATGCGTCATGTAATAATTGTTTCAACGCTATAAGTGTAGATGGGTTTACAACAGTTAAAATTCTGTTTTTAACTTTCTCAGTTATTCGGGTTGCTAGAACAAATTTAATCAAGGTTCTCTATCGACTCCTTCTTTAAGGGTGTCATGATAAAATTCTATCATGCCAAGAAAAGTAGATAGTGATTGTTGTTCACCACTGAATTGGGGTATTATTTTTGAAGCTGTCGAAATATCAAAACTAGCCATGTCTGCTTTTTGTTTGAGATATTTTTCTATATTATTTTTTAAGTTGTTGAATGCTTGTTTGTAAGCTTCTAAGTCAGATTCTTTTATTAGAGGTAAATATTTTAACCAGATATTTTCTAATTCTTCCTTTGTTTTTTCTATAAATTCCCTAGAATATAACCTATTGGGGTTTTTCTTAAGCTTTTCTAATATTTGTTTAGCTTCAGTAAATTCCATATATATATATTTATTTATAGTTCATAAAGTAAAAATTTTTGAAGTACATTCTCTTATTTGTATGACCTTCTAGTCTTATTATTAAATACAATATAATTAGACTTATAATTATTATGGTTGAAATTCATATATTAGCTTTAGTGTACATTAAATAAAATTACTTATTCTTGAAGATTTTTAATTAATCGATTTACATAATTAATTAATTTAATGTGTTTTCTATCTAAATGTCTGCTTAATTTTCTACTTGTTTGGTAACTTTTACCACAAACAAAACAATTAAAGTTATTCATATTTATAAAAAAAAATTTTTTTTTTAAAAACATATATATATGAAATTTTTTTTTTTGCAAATTTAAACCATGTTATTGCTTAAAATAACATGTCTTTTGACATATTTTTTATAATGATTGTTTACTTTGGATAATACTAAATACAACAATAAAATACATATAAAATACAAAATTGTGTTAGAATCAGCTAACTCGTTGATGCTGTTATTACTGTTGTTATTGTTGTTGTTGTTGGTGTTGTTTATCACCTCTTCCTTGGTGGGTTGACTGCCCATTCCTTGTCTCTCTTATTTTTCTTTTTATTGACAGTTGGTCTTCTGAAGATGTGGCAAGATTCAATTCTCTATAAAGGACTGCTATTTGTTTTCTTTTATTGTACTGCTTTCCGCCCCTTTTTCTTTTTGGTTTTATTGGTGTCTTCGGTACTGGTGTTGCTTGTGGCTTCTGCTGCCTCGCTTTATACTGCTCGATTGTTAATGGTTTAGGTTCAGCTGTCTTGTCCACCGGTATGTATTTTGGTGCTTCTATTGGAAGACCATTTATACATTGAGGGATGTACTCTTCAACGTCATCAAAGATATTTAAAAATGTTTCCCAAATTCGGGAGATATTTTTTGCTTCATGCAGCAAAGACATATATGGTACGTAAAAATGTGAAGAGAAAAAGAAATATAAAATGGCTCGACTACGACTAGATTCCACTAGTTTCGATTGGTCAGGATCGCCATGTAATAATAAATTTTATTTTTGTAATATTAAATTTATTAATTATACATGCAGGTTTGCCATGTATAATAAATTTTGTTTAAATATAAATTTATTAATTTTGTTTTAAAGATTTTCATTCGATATAATTAGTTTCTTCTTAGAATTAGCAGGAAGAAATCTGCTCATTAGTAGGCATCCTAGAATGCCGAGACAAAATAATTTTTGAGACTTTTGTTTAAGCTGTTCGAGCTCAGTTTAAAATCTGAATTTTATTATCAATTTTCCAAAATATTTATACAAAATACTTTACTATAATTTACAATATTTTTCCTATTAATTTAAATTGCGGCGGCACTAAAAAGGTTGACCCACATCAATGCTTAGAAAATATTATGACACATTCAAGTGTGTCATATCGACATGTGCAGAATAGTAGCACAGAAAAGAAAAGTGTCAAATAGCAATTGCATACTTGCTATGACCAAATATTCTACTTGCATTGCGGTGGCTCTTCCGTGTGCGATCGCATTACATATTACATTAGTTAATATAAAATAATTTGTGCATAAGCACTTTCAAAACATAATTTATTGTTTGTTTACATTGTTGCGCTATACACAACACTTATTTATATGTTTATTTAATTTTTTACTTGTTTGGTAACTTTTACCACAGACAAAAGAATTGAAATTATTCATAATTATAAAAATTTTAATTTTTAATCATCTAAAATACTTAAAAAAAAAATACAAAATATAATATTATAAATATAGATATAAGAAATATAAATTGTTGATTCTTCTTATTCCTGCGCAGGTTCTTTATTTCCAGCTTGATCTCCTTCTTTTCTGCAACTGTTGTCGCCAGGTTGTACCTCTCGTACAGTTGGGCAATTTGTTTGCGTTGGTGAAATGCTTTTCCTCATCGCCTGTTTGGCTTCTTTTGTGGTTGTGGATTGACAGGTGTGGTAGGCCTTTTTCTTGCCTCTTGCCGCCTTTTGTACTTTTCTATGGTAATTGCTATTGGGCCGGCTGATCGTGGTGTTGGTACATACGTCGGATATATTTTTTCGCGTTGCACCACTTGTTCTGGAACGTACTCTTCTGGTGTTGTATTTGTTGCTTGAAGTATTAGTTCATATTTACGGAAAATTGCGTGGAAAGTCGCTTCATCTATCATATCGTTTGTGTAGATTCTAAAGTTTAATCAATTTAATTGGTATTATTTATGGTTGGTCCGCTTGGCATTGATTCCTGGCAGGATCGCCATGTAATGTTTAACTTCTTGGTTGTAGGCAGAATTGCCATGTAATGAGTTAGCTGTTACAGGTAACGTGTGTTTTTGAGAATGATAATAGAGAAAGATAGTCCTGCCTAGATAAGCATGCATCCAAGTCCTACTGATGCAATCAGGATATAAAGCGCCTTGTTACCGCTGGTACCTAGGCCAGTGATACGTGGCCAGAAGAGTGCGAGAATAAGTCAACAACGCATAGGTTTGCAGTCATAAGTATACTCTGATTTTATTGAACAATAATTTGGGTATTTATACAATTTTCTAGTTTGTAGCGATCTCGTGTACTATATCTTTCATTAAACTCTTTGCCTTCTGTTGGATTTCCGAATTCAAAACTCCGTTTCCGTAGAATTTTGTCCTCCAAAGAGCATATTTCCACATCTCCTGCGTTTCCACTACATTCGGCGGAATTGTCGCCATATCGAAAGTCTTGCAATCCATCATATAACTGGGTGTATTCCTTACCGGCAACTTGAACGTAGATGGCTTCCCATCCACCTTCAAAGTGATAGTTGACGATAGATTCAATATCGGAGTGGCTGAGTCCTTTGATTGGAATAATGGTAGGATTTCTTCGTCTAACATTGAGAAATTTAAAGCACCTACATGTTCTGTTTGAGAACGGGCATTCGTGCACGAAGTGGATGTGGTCTCCATGTTTGATGATAAATTTAAATAAACAATTTTTCCCTCCTTCTTTAAAATTTTTAATTGATTCACCATATCCTTCAAACTCTGCAAGTCTTCTAACTTTGGACAAGTAGATGTCTATCCTATTAGTCGATTTAATTTCTTTGTTAAGGAGTTCTCGGAGAATATATCTCGATTTTTCGATAACTCTTGCAATTCCATCAACATTGTTGAAATCGTCGCTGTTAACTTCTCCAAATTCAATTGTGTTGTTTCTGTCCAATCTATGTCCTTCATCAGTATTATAAATGGCTCCATCCACATCTCGAACTCCTCCTTCAATTCCTCCATTATTGCATACCAACCATTTTCTTTGTTTATCAACACGCGCACTAATACCACCACACCAACCACTTCAATCAACAAAAAAAATTTATTATTATTACGGCTGTGACGTCAATCAAATAGAGGCAGCCATGCTGATTGCTTGCACAATAGTCTACGACTATTTTGCGACGACTACTACGACGAGAAGCGCTGCGCTCCGCTACGCTCACTGCCCGTAGGGCCACACAGCTGTTCCACACCGCTGTGTGGCTGTGTGGAACAGCGTGTGCCAATACTTTCGTTGGTAATACGAAACTCTTTTGTTTATGTCGCTTTGCTTATGCTTCTTGTGTGGTATACATGAAATGTGACTAATTCATAAATTTGCTTATTGTTATTTATGAGTGCTGGTAAGTGGCTTAAAGGTAGGTCCACTACAGTGTTTATGTTTGTTTTTCACTGTGGCGCGGTGAATCATATGACACTTTGTATTCAGCGGCACAGGATGTTTATGTTTACATTGTTGATACTTATTAATTATTCACTACGTTTACAGGAGTCTTAAAATCACTTTTAAAACTGATTTTAAAATTTGTTCTTAGAGCGTTTACGCACAAGAATTAAAAGCACTTTTAAGGTAACTGTCAATCAATCAGGTGTTTAATAGCAAACATAAATGTTGATTTTAAACATTTTAAAAATGAATATGGTAAAACTACAAATTGTTTTACTTTTATTGCAAAAAAAAGATATTATAACCAAAATTGTAGAAAATAATAATAAAGCAACAATGCTGATTTTAAAATCATTCCGTAAAAAATTTACAAAATTACGAGAAATGCGATTGCAGCTCTTTAATAAAATGGCAATACGTTCTGCTAATGAGGCTTTAATGAATGTAAATGTTTTTATAAAGTTTTTCATAAAATATTTAGATTGCATTTTTTTTAGCTTCCACCACGAATAAGAACTTTTAGCAAAAGGAAGAGAAGTTCGGAGTGGTGGGATGTTGAAGTTCTGCAGTTCTATGACGATGAACAATGGATTGTTGATTTTCGAATGAATCGACAAATATTTTTCAGGCTTGTAGATTTGCTTAAGGATAAAATGGCACCAGCAGAAAATACTTTCGTTGAAGGGTTGTCTGTTGAAAAGAAAATAGCTATTGCAGTTTACAAACTTGCCTCTTGTGCTGAATACCGTGTAATTGCAAAGGGATTTGGAGTATCAAAAAGTACTGTTTGCTTATGTGTTCACAGTTTCTGTAAAGTTTTAATTGAAAATCAAATCGGCAAAATATTATCCTGGCCAAATGCATTAGAATGTGAACGCATAGCCTCGAGATTTGAACAAAAATTCAAACTGCCAAATATTATTGGTGTTATAGACGGCACTCATGTGCCAATTAAACCCCCACAAGACGGTGCTGCAGACTTTCGTAACAGAAAGGGTTATAGTTCCATTGCAGTGCAAGCTATTGTGGATGATCAGTATTTATTTAAAAATATCACAGCACAAAATCCTGGCTGTGCACACGATGCATCAGTGCTTAGGGGCAGTTCTCTATACAAACACCATAATACATTAATTCCTGAAAGCCATAGGGAAATCGACGGAATTTACAACGCCTCAAATGAAGCTATGCTTTTTAAACTTCCTTATTATATTATTGGTGTTGCAGCTTATCCGTTTTGTAACTGGATTATGAAAAATTATAGGGATGAGTTAACTGTTGAAGAGACATCCTTCAACTTATATTTGAATCAAGCACGAATTGTTGTGGAGCAAGCATTTGGTCGCTTGAAAGGAAGATGGAGAATACTTTATAAGAAGAGCGACCTGGATGTTTACAATATGACGCATGTGATAATAGCGTGCGGAATTCTTCACAATTTTGTGGAGATATCTAAACAACGTTATAATTCCTCATGGGATGTAGAAAGATTTTACGGTGAAAGTGAATATCCCCAACCTGAACAGATGTACAATCGACAAAATTCGTCGTCCGGATATCTTATGCGAGATCATATATGCGCGTACTTGGCGATAAAATTTCCACTTCTAGATAGAAGCAATTAAAAAAATAATGTAGAAAAAACCAATTTTTAATTAATTAATTTATACATTTATTTATAACTAACAATATAATATATATAATATAATATATTTATAACAATTTAAGCTTAATAATAAATTTAAATAATTGAAAATAATAAATTTAATATTTCATATGAAATATTTTTTCAAAATAAAATATTTTGAAAAAATATTTCATAATATGAAATATTTTTTAATTTTTAAAAAAATTAAAGTTCGGTAAGAAGATATTTACTTGTATGATAAATTACCATTTAGGTGTTCAATATCAAGAGTATCGCATCCGTTATTTTCAAGAATTGATGATGGTCTTGAGTCAAGGATTTCGCACATCAATGGATGGTATTATTACAATTGTTATGTTTTTTTTATTTCAGAGTATTGTCTCTTTAATACCTGCCACTTTTGTTTTATTTGCTGTACACTTCTGTACCAGCCACTGATCTCCATTTCTTGGCGAACAATTTCATAAATTGTGTCCTTTCTATATTTTTTGCCGTCTTACAATTTAATTATTTGTTTTTCTGCAAATATTTTAATTAAGCATTCTTCCTCCTCT